TTCCTGGCCCAGTGTTCTTGAGAAGATGATTCTTAAAGACTTTTACTATGTATTTCTATGTTAAACTTTGATCCCCCATCTTGGCCCCACCCTACCCCTGAGGGTCATGCTTTTAACAAACTTGAATCTACATGTACACTACTTGAGAATCCTTTCATATGAGTTTCATCTTCCTGGCCCAGTGCTTCTTGAGAAGAAGATTTTTAAAGGTAACATTAATTTTTCGTTAATTCATAATTATTTCCCCAGGGGAGAGCGCATGGCTCTTCATTTGAACAAACTTGAATCCCCTTCACCTAAGGATACTTTGTGGCAAGTTTGGTTGAAATTGACCCAGTGGTTCTTGAGAAGAAGATAAATATGTGAAAAATTTACAACGACGACGACGACAACAACAGACAACGAACAATTTTGATCAGAAAAGCTAACTTGAGCCTTAGGCTCAGGTGAGCTAACAAGAGGCCCATTAGCCACATCATTCACCTGAGCATTGGGGTTAGGAAAAAGTAGAAATTGGTTTATTATTGAAAAGTTTAAATAATCCAAAAGTAGTCCCATGACCAATCATGGTTTTACTATTCTTGAGAAGAAGATTTTAAAAGAATTTTCCAATATATTTCTATGTAAAACTTTGATCGGCCATTTTGGTCCCTTCCTGCCCTTGGGGGTCATGATTTGAACAAACTTGAATCTACACTACCCGAGGATGCTTCCATATGAATAAAATTATGAACAATTATGGTTTTGTTATTTTTGAAAAGAAGATTTTTAAAGAATATCCCTATATACAACTGTATTTCTTTGTGAAATGTTGGTCGGCCATTGTTGCCTCGCCCTACCCCCAGGGGTCATGATTTGAACAAACTTGAATTTATACTGAGGATGCTTCCATATAAACATGATCCGTCATGGATTTGTTATTCTTTAGAAGAAGATTTTAGAAGAATTTTCCAATATATTTCTAGGTAAAACTTGGATCAGTCATTGTAGCCCCGCCCTATCCCCAGGGGTCATGATTTGAATAAACTTGAATCTACACTACATGAGAATGCTTCCATATAAATATGATCAATTATGGCTTTGCAATTTTTGAGAAGAAGATTTTTAAAGAATTTTCCTATATATTTCTATGTAAAACTTTGATCGGCCATTGTGGCCCCGCCCTACCCCCAGGAGTCATGATATGGAGAAATTTAAATCTACACTACCTGAGGATGTTTGTCAATAAGTTTCATCTTTCCTGGCACAGTGGTTCTTGAGAAAAAGATTTTTAAAATATGCCACCAAATTTTCAATTATTCCCAATTATCTCCCCTTAAATGAGGGCGTGGCCCTTCATTTAAAAAAAAACTTGAATAGCCTTTATTCAAGGATGCATTGTGGCAGGTTTGGTTGGAATTAGCCCAGCGGTTCTTGAGAAGAAGTCGAAAAGGTAAAAGGTTTACAGACGGACAGACAGACAGACGGACGCCGGACAAAATGTTATCAGAAAAGCTCACTTGAGCCTTCGGATCAGGTGAGCTATAATGGAATCAGAGAGAAACTTCCGTCTTATCACTGCAAGAAGAAGTCAGATCTTCGAACATATCTACCGGTATACACACATGCATGTTTTCTATCAGACCAAAAGTTCTGATTTTGCGCGAACTCACACTAAAAACGTATAAGGACCACCAATGACAGGTTTAAACTGTTAAAATGGCAGTAAGGAATGTGTGACGAAAGTCCCAATACCAGTCTCAAAAATATTCTTCTTGTGTCTGACAAAATCGCAAATCATTGACACGGGGCACCATTTAACGACCGATTAAACATGGTGCCCCGTGTCAAGGATGACAACCCACTATTGGAGTTCGCAAAAGATAGGCTCATTGGTGACCGCCAAATAAAACAAACACTTTCAAATACCGATTATATAAACTAATAGTCCGCCGAAACATTCCTGAAAAATTGCCGACTCGACGTTAAACAATATACAATCAATCTGACAAAATTGCTACTAATAAGCTATGTATGGAATGTGCATCTTTAATTTTCTTTTCATTTGATCGCATTCTACCCTTGCATACAAGGCTTTTAATACGAGTTGTGTCACCTTGTTCGTTAACTTTTACACTGCATATTATTGCAGCCCAGTTGCCCGTTTCATCAAAAGTCGTAAAGTTAAGCCTTAACTTAGGTGTACTTTCGGGACTTACGCCAAACTTTAGTCGGGCGTAACTTGCGTTTCACCAAGCGGCGTAAGTCCAGTCGTAAACGATATGCTTAGTCCCAGGACTAAGTCCTTGACAACGGTGCATTGCGCAGGCGCGTAAACATAAACATTGTCCACTGCGTACAAACATGTATTATATTTGTAGTATGCATATACTTGAAAGCACAGAATAACACAAATTCTAGATTGATGAATCTATATTACTGATTTAAAAATGCATGGATTTATAGATGTGTTTTTTAATACAACATTTCAATTATAAAAGTCTTATAAATTGAAAGGAAGAAAAAGACCGTAGTACATGTATTTCAGAATTAAGCTAAACTGTTTATTTTGGAATTTTAATTACAGACCCCCCCCCCCCTTCCCTAAATTAATACAGGTTAATGATTTTGCCATTGATAATCAATTTCATGATTCGATAAATACTGATTCAACTAATAAATACTAATAGTTAAGTTTGATACAGAATAAGATTTTAAAACTTAATTTTTTTATAAAAATGTTTAGAAATGTATACTTGCAAGCAAACATAATGTATAAAAATGCAAACAGTTTACATATGTACACATTTTGAGTCAGGAAATAATATTTACACGTTTACTACTAAAGTACATGTAAGAGAATCCTCTTTAAGTCTATTATAACATGTATAATTTCGTCAATTTAATTGATTCATTATAATATTGTTATTGTTTATTAAAATGGCACAAATGTACATAAAATAATTTAGAAATAATAGACTCTAGGTGCATGCTGTCGTAGATTTTTTTTTGAATTTGAATTTAGTGTACCGTTTTACAAGTACGCAGAGAGAGAGAGAGAGAGAGAGAGAGAGAGAGAGAGAGAGAGAGAGAGAGAGAGATTCGGAAAAATTGACTACAAATTTGCATGTATTCGTAAAGAAATTCTCTGCTTGTTTGTTCTCAGTCTTTAAAATTAAATTACTGTAACTCTTTATTTTGTTTTTCATAAAAAATGAAGTTATGCGGGAAATCAAAAACATGTATATTTTCATCTTATATGTGTTTTATATGCGTTCAAATTATCTAAAACTATATAAGTTTTACTCATTTAGACGAAATCATGAAAAATAAAGATGCCCTTTGCATCAATCTTTGTCTGAGAAAAAAAAAATGTTTAGGAATAATTCATTTCTTGAACTTAACTGTGTAAAAATCTCCGTCTTATATCGATATAATAAAAGTAATAAATTAAATATTTTCACCATTTAAAAAATGTCTTTTTGTCTTTGAGACCTCCCTCCCCGACCTCGCAGGTTTCCGTCTTAGATTTGCTGGGCACTTGTTCCAGATACCTAGAAAACTAATAACTTGTACCTTCGCCCCAACTCTGTACATTAAATGTTCATTAAACTGCAAAATCGGGATGTTTTAGACCCGACCCCCTCTAGATCCACGCATGTGGACAAGGAAAATGGAATCTTCAAACATAATTGAAAAAAAAACCAATTGGTTTCAAGATGAGTTATATTTTTTTTTTCTTAAATGTAGAAAATTACAAGCTAGAGGATCACTGTGCTTTTGAAACCGATTTTTTTTAAAAATATATATTTGGGATTTTTTTTCAAAATATACATTTTTAATGGGTCTCCTTTTAGTGAATGAAACAGAATATATACCTAGAGGTATTGTGAGCAATGACCTCACTAAATGATACACTCCGCCTCCCATATGAATTTAATGGCAGTGTCCATGTTTTCGTATGGGAACCCCAAAGTATGTGTCGGATCAAAAAGTAAAATAAGGCACAATGACAATATGTATAATAATAATACTGTGAAAGTCTCATCAAATTTCATTCAAAAGTATGAGAGGAGATGCAGATAAAAAAAATGGGTATCCCAAAGCGTAACGGACGGACGGACGAGCATCCCAATTGCTATATACCCTCTCGCTTTGTAAGAGGGGATATAAATATAATAGTTCATGTATAGTCGGTTTACAATACCTTATACATACAATACAACAATAAATAGGTATTAATGCATTGTCGACATGAAATTCGTCAGAAATGGTGGTCGAAGAAATCTCTAAAAAGGCAATCTTTTCTTCTCATCAGAAATTTATTACAATATTAACAACGTTATTACTCCAAACTACGTCCCTAAGTGGTTATAGCAGCCCCCCCCCTTTCCATAGTATGTATAATTAAATAATGCATTGTTTTTATTTTCAAGACTCCTTAGAACCGTACTTTTTCTTTAGAACTCGCTAACTTATTTCAAAATCAGTAAAATTGCTTTATTTTAACTTTACGTCCGAACTTACGCCTACCCAGAGTAGACGTAAACTTTTGGCCTTAATTTAGTCAGGCGTAACGATGCGCTCTTTAATGAAACGCAACTCTTCGTGCTGGTCCTGAATTTACGCTGGCGTAGCGCTACGACTGGGCGTACGACCTTTGATGAAACGGGCCCCTGAGGACCGGGCTGTTCTATACATATAAGTTTAAGTGTTGGTATATGGGAATTGACGTGGGAGTAGTTAATGTATATAAACACATTGACAGGCAAAATATGCATAACTTCAATTATAAGTACCCGAGGAACTTTTGACTCCTGCCCGGTTATTTTAGAACACTCAATATTACGGGAAACTCTTAAATATAATGAGATAAATTAATATACGTTAAAACTTTAATTAAGCTTCATACGATATTAATATATGTAATAAAAAAAATTAAAGTAGAAATCATTTCAAATATCAGCTACCTGTAAGATTTGATTTTATAATTTATTCTTGTTTGTATTTTTAAAAATAAGGAACCTACGTTGGAAGTGTACATCTACGAAGTGAAAAAATTGGAAGCATATGGTTTTCAAACGGCACGGGAAGTAAATGTGTTTGCAGTTTTTCTAACAATACTTTAATTCAAAACGTAACCTACTACGGGATGCATATACCTGATATTCAGAGTTTATTTGATACCGGATGTAATATAGTAAAAAATGGGACATTGGAGAAAATTGGATATAATTGTTCACTCAATATAACAGATCAAAAACATACACAAGGTAAGCAAGTCTGCTTGTGTGTTATCAACACTCAAAACGTTAATCGAAATTCCAAGTTATTAATTTTTTCTTTCTCTTTCATGTGAGGTATTTTATGTCTGTTCATAGTCAAATGTACAATGCTTTTCTCCTATGATTTTAGATGTCAAATGTATAACAATGCTTTTCTCCTCTGATTTTTAGATGCCAACTGTTCAAACATTGCTGTCAGCTCGTCTCCACCGCCTACTACTGTTATAAGTCTTACAACACGATTAAAAACAAGACCCCAATCAACTGTTACGTCTTTCACGCCATTAGCTATTGTTACAGAAGCCATGACGTCATCTAGTCCTGTTTCTCCGGTCCGGTACTCAGGCTCTACTGGACACTCTACAGAGTCTGTACACGGTACTGGGATAGGGACTGCAACTCGTATACCAGGATCCAAGTCGCACGTGTCGTCACTCTCTCTAATAACTAAGGAATCTCATAGTCTTACAGTTGTTACAACTGATCCAACTCAACACAGCAGTCCCTATGGTTTAACATCTCGAGAAGTGTCGTCTTCGCTAGAGAATGTCAATCCCTCAACAAGTCTGAATACTGGTCAGCATTTAGAGACCACGACTGTCAAGAAAACAGAGACAAACTCGGCCCTTACATGTAGGTATTCCGTAAACAGGTATGTTATCCATGAATGTGCATGTTAAACATTTAGTAACACTTAGCATATGCAACAACAACCTATTGTGTCAACGCACGTTTAAATTGAAAAAAATTTTCAAAGTGCGTTAAAATTGGGACAAAATCAACGCACTTTGAAAAAAAATTTCAAAGTGCGTTAAATTTGTGACTAACTCAACGCACTTTGATTTTTTTTTTCAAAGTGCGTTAAAGGTGTACATAAACATTTAGAGAAGAGAAGAAGACGGGTAGAAGATCCCTTAGTCCAAATCTTTATCTTTCCAATACATAGGCATCGGTAACAAACGGGGGAGGGAAGTAATTAACCCAAAAATGGTAAGCCGGATTTTCAATGCTTATAAGTTATTAAATTACGATGTATATATCTTTCCAAAATAAACTGGGGGGGGGGGCTTAGCCCCCCCCCCCCCTCCCCTTGCTCTTTGCCTGGATCCTATGCCTATGCTATACCCAAAACATGTATATATCTGATTGCGCCCATGACAAAAGGGTCCTTATGGCATTCTTGCTAAAACAGAGAAATAACGTCATAAAGATGTGACGTTGCAGACTGACGGTGAACTTCGACGCAGATTTTTTTTTTAACCACGTGTTTTGACGTTTGACGCATCCAGAGTTTTTATCGCTGTTTCCAACATGTGGAATTTATTTTCATTTATAAATTAATTTAATCAATATCTGAATCTCCTAATCCACTGATTTTAATAGATATAAATAAAAACATTTAGAACTGGTTTCTTAACAAACATTATTAAATACGTCTCTATAATACCAATAGTTTTCCTACATGCGTAATTAAATGTATAGAAGCTGTAGACAAGGTGTTTTCTGATAGCATATTGAACCTTTATACTCTAGATAAATTTTATTTACATATTTATACCATTTTTAGAATACATCTTAGACATGGTATATCGTAAAAAATATTGCAAAGGAAAATTGTCTTCCTACTTCTTTGAGATCCGCTCCACCACTCTCAAATATAGGGGGCCTAGTTATACATCGCGATCGTGTCGATCACATGTAAACATTGATTCATCGGTGCATACTGCTTAAACTGTTGTTAAATTGTTTGTACAATTGTTGAAACTAAACATACGTCTTCCACGATTTTTACAAATCTAGCAAGAATGTGTGAGAACGATAGTCAAGATTATTAATTTTTGTATTTTCTAAAAATAAAAATAGGAAAGATAACTCTGATGTCAACAATCGATGTAACAGGGGTACCAGACAGGGACATTCATTCTTCTTCACATTGCAGTACTTTTACATGTTCGCATGAATTTTCTCCCGGATTATAAAAGAGATATCTTAAGACCAAATAAAAAAAAACTTTTAATCGTCATCATAACTATGAATTTTTAAATAAAAAAATATTCTTGTACTTTGGGAATAAGGTTGATGTAGAAAAAGAAAAAAACAAAGAAGAAAAAAAAGGAAACTGCAAAATTGAACAGACTTTAATTTTTTTTCAAATCTCTTATCTATAGCTTTTTTTTTTTGGCATGAAATAATTTCATGACGAATTTCATTTTTTAAAAAATAATAAACATGTAAAGCGTCTACCCTATAATCAAGATTAAATAAATTAAAATTTAAAAATGTTGTTTTGTCTTATATTCTTGTTGCACAAAGACACTTCAATTTAGAGAAATTAAAACAAGCAAAAAACATCCGAATGAAAAAAAAAAGTTCTTAATGTTCTAACTTTAATAGAGCTGGTGAAGTAAATCTGAGAGAGAGAGAGAGAGAGAGAGAGAGAGAGAGAGAGAGAGAGAGAGGATGCAGGGTAGATAAAAATACTTATTTTGAATCTATTTATCTAATATTGAGAAATGTGAAACTCTATTGAAAAAGATGAGTTTTCAAAACAAATGAAATAATAAATGAAAGAAAATATCATTTTTGTTCTCTAAACTATATATACATGTATAGCTATTTATTTTCAAGATCTCCAAGTTTAATATACATGTAACTCTTTGGTACTTACGTGTTGTTGTTTTTTTCATACGGAGTTCAAATGTTTTAAGCATTATCTGCAAATTAATTCTTTAAGCCATGCCGAACTTTGTCTTTCATAAAAGCTCGATCAGCATTGAATGTCTCTTAACAGATCAATTATCATGCTAAAAACTCAATCATCACTGAACTTATAATCTCATTGCTGTTATCAGTGTGGAATAATATACATGTATTGTTTAACCTGCCATCAAATTATGTATAAACATTATTAAATATGCTCAAAAATTATTTATTTGTTTTGGTTGATAAAAAAATCTTTATAAGTTCAGGGTCGGGTTTTATTTCTACATGTAAATGCTAACAGAAAATAAAATTCAATGCTGAAAATACATGACATAAAACCGCAACAATATGCTTGCATTTGTTTTATTTTGGCTGCAGTGCAGGGGATGTGGGTGGGGTGTCCTTATATATTTCCGTAACATGTATAGGCTTTACAAGGCTTAGCATATCCAAGCTTCTGGCACCAGGCACGTAGCATTGTTTTTGAAATTGGGGGGCCAGCCAGAGAAATTTTTTTTTTACTTCCCTGAAAAAGTTGACAAGCAAAAAAAAGGTTAATGTTGCACATAGTCGAAAATCCTATTTCGTGGGGAGGGGGGTGGGTGGGTTTAGAGGCCAACTTTTTTCAGTACCAATTTTTATACTACATTTTCCGTACATCAGTAATAGTGGGGGGGGGGGGGGGGGCAACCAGACTTTCAGTTATCAATTCCTATAGTATAAGTAAGGTTGGGGATAAAAGTGAAGGGCAGGCCCCCCTGCGCCCCCCCCCCCCAGTTGCTACGTCCCTGGGCACGGGACCAGAATGGAATTCATACTCTTTAAAACTCACTTTATAGAATAAAATTAGAAAACAACATTAGATTGAAGGGGATTTTTTTTAAATTAGGTCATAAATAATATGATGATTTTCCAAGATGTTTATATCCCTACAAAAATCTGACATTTCAAAACTCAGCCAGTTCACAGGCAATTGTCAGGAAATATATTATACAAAACAGTCATATTCAACTGACTGTATATTTAGGCATAAACAATTACATGTTATTAATCTTTAATCCACCCCTACCCCCAACAAAAGCTATCCATATAAACCGTAAATGGCATCTTTAATTTAATTCTATGGGTGTGCTTCTAAAACCATCCATTTCATAAAATAAAACCAGATTTTTTTTAATTTTAAGGTATCATTATATACATGATTAACAATACTGAATTCATAGAAATTCAGTTCCAGGCTCATAGTGTTTATGATCGCTGTGCGATTTTGAAAATGGTAATGCTCAGAATTAAAGGTACCAATATAAAATGAAGAATAATAGGCAGCAGTATTTCAAACCTAAATAAAAAAAGTGAATCTGCAAGTTGTAGGGTTAATGGTACTGGGTGCCCCCCCCCCCCTTCACCAACTTACACATAATCCTACAAATGTTAATACTGGGTTTATCTATTGTGTAAATGATTGCGGATTATAACTCATTCATTTGTTTGTAAAATTTCCACTTTTTGATTAGTTAGTATTAAAATATTTTTACTACTAGGCTGAAAAATATTTCGTGTATCCTTTATATTTTCACAAAAGCAGTGTCATTATTGACCCAATGCAGACAGACAACCGTATCGATGCAGTGAATCAAGCAAATTTCCTTTTTATTTAATGTCTATTGTGTATCGTAATTACATGTTACATGTACCACACTTCACAATTTTTCTGTCTTTATATAAAATTTAGAAAGAAAGAACAATCAAATAAATTTTCACTTCGCAGTAGCATTTAGGTAGCGTAATGTTGTAATTTAAAAAAAATTAATTTTCACATATATTGTGACTAAAGATATATCCTTTTTGCTGAAATCTTGACCTATCGAGAGCAATGTTTAAATCAAAATAATTTTCAAATGAATTCTACAGGCTTCTCAAATGACTCTTGCATGGATTACCAGTAAATATTTTGTTTGAGAAAATAATTGTTTCAAAAAACAAAATGAATGGATGTTGCCCGCTGTTCAGGTTTCCCCCTGGTGTCATAAGAAAAGTGAAATGTAAAACAAACACTCACTCATAATACTATACACCACTGATGAATCCATAATATATATAAACTATTAAATAATTATTATTAATTAAAAGAGACAATGAGATAAAAATAATGTGCATGGAAAAATATCAAATATTATACATCTATTAATCACCATAGTTAAATTACAGAAGAAAATCATTTAACGTTCACTCTGAAAACGTTTGACGTTGTTGAAAAACATGACGTCATTATTAACCTGTTAAAGTATATTTGATAAAAATGAAGAAAAAACCTACTTAGAGTAGACGTAGGACCATAAAAATTCATATTTGACAACTTTTAACCTTACTCTATCAGAATCCGTGATAAACTCAAAATGCATAAAAATTGCCATAAGGACCCTTTTCACATGGGCGCAATCATCTGTATTTACATAACTAGTATGACGTTGAAAACTTTCTATAATTTATAACATTTATCAAAACCTCATATATACAGTATATTTCAAACGTCAATATCTCAGGTCCTGAAGTGACCTTATAAAAAATGTTATCCAACCAGGGTCATTTATTTATCATACCGATTATTTGTAAGAATATTGATGAAGCTTTACATTTTTTTCAAACTGCGTTAATATGTTCGATATAAACACACTTTGAAAAGAAATTTAATTTTTTCAATGTGTATTAGCTCGGTCCCAAATTTAACGCACTTTGAAGTTATTTTTCAAAGTGCGTTGTAACAAACCTACAAGTCAAACAACATTAGAAATCAGTTTCTCAGCTTACCAAAACTGTAGCAAAGAGAACGTCTTATACTGTTTAATAATACAGTTACTCCCTTTTCTTATTCTATATTCCTACGGATTGAAAATATGTTTATTAAAATCATAATCATTTCAGTATAATTT